GATGGGTCAAATTTTGCCTTATCCGTTCTTACACGGACAGCCTCTTAAATGTATGGAATCCTTTTTTTATTGAAGGCAGCGATGGAAGCTTAAACAGCAACAATTAAATATGCGACAAGAACATCAAGCTATGGTTGGCGCGGTTGGAAGATTTATGAAGGTATGCTAATAAGTGTGCTATGGTTAGTTTGCATAGACAGTTAAAGCCTTCTATGCTGCTTAGCAACAAATACTATTTTCCTTAGCAACTATTACTCTATGTTCCTTAGCAACGATTAATTTTTCGTTGATTTAGCAACAGTTACTCCAAGGTTTCTTAGCAACGATTACTTTTTGTAACCTAGCAACAATTTCTCTATATTCTATAGCAACTATTATTCTAGTTGGGATTTTTCCCCCAACCCAGAGGTTCGAGGGAAAAGGTACGCATGGTCTAGCCCAAATCATTGAATTTCCCACATTTTTGATAAGCTTGTGTTTGTTTACTGTGTTGGTAAATATCTTTCTAGGAACTACAAAGAAATAATTTGGATGAAGATAGCATTATCAACCTTCGAGAACTCAGGGGTGTCTTCACAAAAGTAAGTCGAACATTCTGCACGTGGATAACATGCGCGACTATCATCTTCACTTACTCACCTTGTCCCATGCCCTTTGGAGGCAAATCCAAGATGGCGGCCCAGGATAACCATATGTATATATTCATGGATAATACAAGCAGTGTTACTGATCTGGATGTCTTTTTTCTTCTTTAGCCTGTAGACTTCACAAGAGAAGATGCTGAACTGTTGTTTGGCTATGATGTTGATTATCGATCTGCTTTTGAGGAACTCGACACAGATGAAGACGGAGAGGTAACTGAGGACATCTTCTCCTTCCAAGACAATTTATGCTCTTGATTTTTTGATCGTTCCTGTGGGAATAAATTCACAAAGATGTGGCAACCATGTTAGTGTACATACATCATAATGGACCTGATCCACCTATGCTCAGTATTTCCGCCATTTCACACGTGTAATTAGCTCGAGAGATTTTATATTTAAGTTGTATCCATGCGCATGTGTCTTCTCGTGTGCAACCTTTAAACAAAGAAATGATACTCTATGGAATAGCTCATGGTCTGAAATGGGAAAACAGTGGATTAGGTCAGGTCTATAGCAGAACCTAAAGAAAAGCTATTTCGTTAACCGTACGCCAAAATGGCAGAAGGCATTTACAGACCTCCATTTAAACCAGCCTAAGCTGAATTGGACTGCCCTGTCAAAATATGCGTAGACGTTTTTTACTTATACTCGTGTCAGGATAGCTAAGATGCGCGGCAAGTGAGGCTAAGCTGATCCAACATCCATAACACATTAGTAAGCGCAGATTGCAGCAATATAACTCATGATCTTATTCTCTGAATGCAGATTACGTTCCAAGAACTGATGGCGTTTATTGAAAAGAGAGGCGTCAACCTACAAACGAGATTTCTGGGATACTCAAGAAAAGAGATACGACACTTGGGTGAATTCATCCAAACTTTACAGGTGAGCAACCCCAACTTTAATAAATGTAATCCATACTATCTAAAATGTATACACTTTTTTCAATAAACGTTGTCATTGCCAAAGGTGATAGGCAATAAGCGATAGGCGAAAAGTGATAGGAGATCAGGTCATTCCAAGATCCAAGAATAGCTGGAATGACTTGTGTTTCTGCTCCTTATTCTTGTCAAGACGAAAATGGACCAACATGTTGAGACTGATTCAATGTTCTTTGTATTCAACGAAACCATTTCCATGTCGGAATGCCTTTTTGCCTATCGCCTTTTGCGATGACCTTTATTGAAATAGGTGTATACAAATTAAAACTCGAGTATGTAAGCAAAGTGAAAAGCATCGTGAAGCGAAAATACAAAAATACATTTGCCAAAGAAAAATGAATATTTGCTAAAGAAAGACTGTTATTAAAGACAAGCTGAGCCACAAGAAAGTTGCAGGGCTTCATTAGGAGCTGGAGATCGCCGCGCCCGCCCACGGATCTTATGGTTTCTACTGCACTATTTTTACAATCAAAGGCACTTCTAAAATCATCATAAAGGATGAGTTCATTTGAAGATAGACAAGGGCGGATCCAGGGTTTTTTTGAAGGGGGGGTCTCAGGGGTAAATTTTGTGGGCAAAGGAATCCCAGTCGCATTTTTACCACAAGAAGCCCATTTGACCTCAGGAATGACAGGGGGGTCGCGACCCCCCGACCTTCCCCCTGGATCCGCCCTTGATAGATGCTCAGAAAAAGTATTAGTTTGTAATTCCAGCTTTTCCTAAGCGCAGCACTGCTATAAAAAGACTATCTGTACGAACATATTTTGGATGAACGAGTTTACTCATGCACGATAATTGATTTTCTCCAGACAGCGTTATCAGTGAACGTAAAGAGGGTTTATGTGGAGGTGAGTCTACAAGCACTTTTTGTGGTTAACGAAAAATAAGATTAAAGATCCCATACTGATAATAACTTGGCCGCGATGCTTAATGGGAAGAAATAACAAAATACGCAACGGCTTTCCTGCATTCTGATTGGCTGTATTTTCGATGGTGTGATGAAAATAGTTTACTATGCACATTGATATATATGCTAGGGGCCGTTCTAGGATTCTAGGGCTTGCTGAAATAAATGTCCCTGTCAAATAATTTCATGTTTTAAAAAATTTCCCGCGCTTTTGGAAACACCTCTTTGTAGGACTTTAAAGTAGAAACAAGAACGGAAACCCAGGAAAGTCTATAATCCTCGTATGAGGTTGAAAAAATAAACGTGAAAAGTGCATCATCTCCTACTAAAAATAGCAAAACAAATGTTTTATTCGTAGAAAAGGGATGTAGAGAGAACTATTGGAATAGATACAGACTACATTGAGACTAATGATTTCCAGCTTGAACAAGGCGATAAAGATTTTCTTATAGAGGTAAGGAAAAGGTCAAGGAATAATACTAAGGGGAATGACACATGGTCTGAGCTGGGGGGGGGGGGCCTAAGGAGGGTGGCACCATCAAAGTTATGCATTTATGAACTTGCACTGTCGCTTCATATTCGAAAATATAAAAATGATTAATGTATCATGAAGTTATTGGTCGCGAATAAATGTACCAAAAATTAGCGATGTAAATATTCATTAATGAAACGCGGAAATTTTTCATTTTCTACTGTTGCACTTGCTGTCTTATGCAGGGATAGTTTCGGCTTTGCCACTTCTCTGATCAAACAAAAAGCATTTAACCGAGGTTGTAAGGTTCATACTTGATAATAGAGACAATTTGAATAATTCAAATTTGAATATGTATGAATTCATCTGCCGCATACCAAAATTTTAAACCTCTGTGCTATTCTAAGTGCTAAGAATAAAAGCGAGTATTTACTTAACAATAGATATCCCATCATGCTTTACTATACATATATTAGCGTGAACACTCCCTTTTGTGTCGCTCTCATCTACGACGCCGAACAACTGGTTCTGACCTCCCCCCCCCCCCCCCCCCACCACCCTACATGACGCGTTGTAAGACGTTTCCCCACACACATTTTCATGCATTTCCATGTCTAAATATGTATAGTCGCGTGTATTGTTAGCATGTGAATATATTACTATTTTATTCAGCCTAAGACCATAAGTTCAGTTAAGAACACGTGATACTTTATTTGTTTAGTCCGGCAGGCGAGCCACAAGAGCATTTCTTCGTGAGTACTACAAGAAAAAATACCCGGCAGTAACGCCAAGTCAAACGGACCAAGAACCTGTCAGAGTAAGCGTTCGAGGTGCGACACCAGCCGTTACCAGCGATAGAAAGAGGAATCCTTCTGTTGTATCTGACATATCTATAACATCCAATAAACTACCTCCTCTATCCGCACAATATTCGCACGAAAAATCAAAATCCACCGTCACCCGCCACCATCGTTACAGCTCTGCAGGATCGGCCGGGTCTGAGAGTAGTACTACAAGCACTGGTAAAGTCAGCGTTGACGTGCCTAAGAGCCCATCCACTGGTAGAAAAAAGAGTCCTGGTCGTAAGACAAGAGTTGGTGCCTTAGCAAAATTTCTATGAATATCGCAAGATCGGATAAAACCGCAGTCTATGGAGTTCGAGGTTTATAGAAGACCTGCTTAACCTGTTACTGGTGTTTTAAAGGTGCTTGCGCCAGTCATTACTCGTGCAATCAGAATATTGGACCCCGCGCCGTCATGGTCACTGAAAGACATGTGCTTACGAATTATCGTAGCGTTATTACAGTCCTACAAAATCCAAAAATCTTTTTTTCTTCCAATATCTCACAAGGAATTAAACAAGCTACAAACATATTTTGAAATGTAAGGTGATTACTACAAACTTTTAAGTCGGAAGCCTGTTGTACAAAAGACTTCTAGTTTAGTCATCACCATTAAAAAAGGAAGAAAGATAAAAGTGGGTTTTAAAAAGCAAGACAATGTCAAAAACAAGGCATAAAATATTTAAAAACTGATGATATTTGTACAAAATCTGTACACTTTGATAAGTTAATGAATGGGTTCCGCAGCAGCCATGTTGTTGGGCAGGTTCATTGTTCGGCTTTTTTTGCATGGCAAGAAATTTGAAATTCATTTCCAAAGAATAAAATGTCTATTGCTTTTCTTTACAAAATGGCTGCCTTGAAACCCCTCTATTTGCCATTCCGATTTTGAGGAAACAACTCGATCAAGTTGGCATTGCAGTGCATTTTGGAGCTGTCTTAGGGGACATATTTCCAAGAAGGCGTCTATTTCTTCCCCCAGAATGCCCCAGAATGCAATGCAATGCCAACTCAACCCAATCTTTTCCTCAACCTCGTAATGGTTAATAGACCTTTATCAGGCTCATTTTCTCTTAAAGTCAAAGAATTGAACAAATCATGTCACGTCACGCCATGATATTACTTCTCATAATCAAAATGAGAAACAGTATGTGCATGGACATAGGGCATACTGTTATTCTGCGCGTCATTTTGTGTTGTGTCTCTTTGCTCTTTAGCTGTAGCAAGCTAACCACAGCGAGAAAGTCTTACTCTTAAAGAGTGTACGTCAATGTATTAACAGTGTTAAATTATGATTGTTAAGAAGTTATACATTTTACAAGTCAGATAATCAATAGATATCGTCATAATTCGTTTCAAATAATGCTAACATTCTCCTCCTGCAATTGCAAAAAAAAAAGCTGCAATAATCGAGTTGGACTAATTGCATGGTCACGTGACTGATTTACACAAGTCATGTGACCTTTCTCGCTATAGGGTGGTCTTTGTACGTACACGGTGTGCCACTTGCCGTAATACTGAAACGACTATCCGTTGCTTTCGCGTGGACTCATGCCGCAATCACAATTCATGTTCGTAGTCTGGTAAACTAAAACGCAATTGATGGTTTTCAACCATTCCCAAAATAATTAAATAACAAAAGACACGGCGGCCATGTTGGAGGATATAACAATTCTTTTGTTAAGTTCCTCCAACATGGCCGCCGTGAAAACCATCAATACCACTAAGTAAAGATTAAACTTTTCTCGTATCGTTTCTAAGTACACAAATTTCTGTTCTCATACACCCATTAGTGCCATTTTTTTTTTTTTTACTGCTATAAGATTCTCTTGCATAGTTTGATGAAAATTTAAGCCAAGGATAAAAAACTATCTAAGAATTTTGGTGCGAATGCAAATGGCCTGCTGGTTCGCAAATGTAATTTATCTGCCAGTTATGGCGGCTTGTATTATGTATAAGGAGAAGCATAATTTTCCTTATGGAAATTTGGTTAAATTATATGGAATTAAACATATTAAACTTTTTTTGAAAATAAATGAAATGTAAACGAATTTAGAAAGAAAACGTCATTGAAATCATTATTTTGTAAATGATGAAGCCAGATTTTGGGAAAGTCACATTGGAAAGATATTGTAGGATCTTAAAGTGGTTCGTTTTTTACAAAGCTAAAGGGGCCAAACAATCACTTTTTTTAGATCAAACACCATGACAACCTTATTAGTGGCTCCCTCCTCTCTACAATCAAGCCCTCTTACAACAAAGGTTCCTACCAAGAGAAAAAGGAATTCCCTTTATACAGCCTTGTAACCATCATGTGCACAGTTTGATGCTATTTTTAAACCTTTTCTGCACGCGCATTTACTGCGCGCGCTCTACGCTGTTTGCTTACGTTTTTTGGGTTTTTCCGTTATTTCGAGACTCTGCCCTGAATATGAATGTGCCCGTCGAAAGATTGGCAATTACGACAGGAAATTGAAGTAGTAATCTGTTCAACTTTCTGGAGTATTTTTACATTTATTTTCCAAAGCTTCCGACCTACATCGTCATCTTGAGGGCAGGTTTGAACATTTAAACATAAGAAAAGCACAAGAAAACTTTAGCAAACAGCGTAGAGCGCGCGCGTACTATGCGCGTGCAGAAAATCAAACGATCAAATAAATGATATCATTGGAAGATATTTTTAGAACTCAAAGTTTGCACATGATGGGGCACCCTTAATTCTTGGCAGAGTTCTCTTTCACCAGTGCTTATACTAAGGAGTATGTGAATAGACACCTTGCATGTGACGTCAAAGCAGCTCGATCATCTGGGGCCACAAAACAAAAGAATTTCAAACTCCTGAGAATTGGAAAAGTTTTGTTTTGTCCCTCAGAATGAGCTGCATTCCAAAGTGCTGCAAGGAGTAATTTTCAAAGCACCAAATAATGAATTTCCTTCTTGCGAGAATCTAGTCTCGTTGTCTTTTACTCCAAGTTGAGCTACACTGTGATTGTGCTGCTAAAATTCCTGCCCTAACTCCCCTACTAATATTAGCAAAACTTTTAAACCCAGCTGGTAGCGGACTTTAGAATGCTTGAAAAACGTCCTGCATTGAATGTAAACTTGTTCAAATCTTTTTTATGCCATCGTTAAATGTTTTGATCGTAGAATAAACCTAAGTACGTAGCTAGCATGAACTATTCAGCATTAAATTCTAAGCCAAAACAAAGAAGGTATTCACAGAAATTAGAACTTTCAAGTTAAGAAAATGAAGACTTTAGTAAATACAACAAGGTTACTGAATTACTGAAAAGTTATGTTTCAAAATATGGTTAAATAAGGACAAGTAGTCAGAGTTCTTTAGCGACAGCAACATCTTCTGACATTCAGCTGTTTCACGATCGATATTAAACGTAATTTGGTAAGCAATGAATTCTCAAATGCTCAAGAAATACCTGTATTTTCTTATTTTCTTGGTGTAGACCCTCCTGAGTATCTAAAGAATCTTTGATATCCATGAATTTGCACTTCAAAATTCTTGCAAATCAAATTTCCCTCCATTTTGGTCAGCCATTTTGTTTTGCTTCACTTGAAAGAGCCCGCGCGCACTCTTGACAGCGGAAAAGCCAGAAGTTAAGGAACGAACCAATCATATTTCTCGTTATAAGTAGGGTCAGAAGTTCATGTAGGGTATAAAACTAAACTTGAGTCTAGCAAGGTCATTATGAAGCGACTGTTCCTTATCTTTGTGGGTGCTAAAATACCCAGGGTAATTCTACTTTCAGCTTTGGGAATAGCGGGGCTTCAACAAAAATTCAGCTTTTACTCACCCATCTCCGCTCTCCCATAAATAATAAATGTTCTCTGCATTCTATTAGTATTCTTTTGGTAAAACGCGAAAAAAGAGCAGCAATGAAGTGTAGCCAAAATACTAACTAAACTACGCATGCATATAGACAGATAAAAGCCGTACACTGAAACGTCATACAACGAGATCGCATATCAAGTAGTTTATTGCTTCATTCCAAAGCTGCCAATTAAGTTTTAGCAAGATAATAAACTGAATATATATCGATAAACATGTATTTGTACAAGTGGCAGTTGAAAATGACATTTGGGGTGGGTGTGGGAGGGGCGAGGGATTATTTTATTAAGCACGTTATACATAAAGTAAAAAAAAATCTTACATTGACGGAAATAGCTCATCTAGAATAGGGGAAAAAATAAAATTTTTCTCGTACTTTAAAACCTAAACTATCTTAACTTACATTATTCTGAATTCCTTATTTTCAAGGCTTCACATGGTAACCGTAGTCATACTTTAACAAAATGCCAAAGCAATTCACTTCCGGTTCAATCCTAACACTGACCTACTTCCGGTATAACTATGAATTTCGCGTCCGGTTACAAATGTTTTCCCAAACAAGTATTCCTAGGTACCACACATCGTGTTTACATTTTCTTAGGTTCATTCCAATGGGAATGTATGCAACACAATTTTTTGAGAAAGCACAAATGTTAACATTTACAAAAACAAAAGAATTTCTATTAATAGAAAAAATATATAAACCTAAGGAAATAATGAAAAAAAAACAAAACAATATTTAACGAAAACTTTCTAACTCATATAATCTACCTTATCACTTTCTTCTATTCTACAATATTACTAAGTTGTTAAATATATACACTATATAGCCAGATTAAATTTTCGACATTTTTTACTTGAAAATCAATATTGGAATCATCGGGATTACTAATAGACATTGCCTAATGACAGACATATTTTTTGAAATCATTTCACCAAATCAAATCCAACGTATTCGTCTATTTGTTATCAAATTATATATACTGTATATACTAAGATACAATATGATACATCATAAACTAAGGTTTTCATAACCAGCTCTAAGGCCTAGGTCAAACGTCGTACTTCACATGAGCCGAACCTAATCACATCAAAGAAGACCGCCTTGTTATCTATTGTTTCAATTAGGTTCGGATCAAGTAAAGTTAGACGTTTGACCCAAGCCTTAGACTCTTAAGGATCCCGTACTTATTCATATTGAGATCGTCTTTTGATTCATGCCTGATGAACTAAACGTGGGTACATTGGTTATAAGGAAGCCAACGCTTGTTTTCCTTCTGTTGTGTTGTTCTTTTCTTCCTGTTTGTGAAAATCATACAGATTTAGTGAAACTTAAAATAGTGTTATAATTTAGGGCAAAAGAATATTGTCTTGCTTAGGGGCATTCCAGGATTTGCATGAGGGGGTCACTCCTCACTAACCTAGTAAACAAATCAAACCCTCCCTCCCCCCTCCCCTCCCCTCCCCTCCCCAAAAACATGGGCACGTAACAACTAAACTGCTTAGGAAAGGGGAACGTTCAAACTTCTTCTTGAGCCAACRGTTGAACAAACTTAAAAAAGGAAGCAAGGAAGCAAGGGGCAAATAACAAGAACCTAAAGTAGTGAGAGAGAAAAGCAAGCGAGAAGTAAAACAAAGAAGAAGAAGAAAAAGAAGAAGAAGAAGAAGAAGAAGAAGAAGAAGAACAACAACAACAACTACTACTACTACTTGCAACTACACCAGCAACACCAACAACAACAATAACA